CAAATAAAGTCCATAGTAGAAGAAACCTTTGAATAGTCAAAATCCAAAAGCATAAAAACCATGGTTTTCGAACCGTTGTTGACCCGAACGGACAAACATTTTGGCTCGGGAACCATTTAGGCAACCAGTTCCATTTTACCCTAATCTCGATCCTTGGTCAAAAATTGTTGAATCGATCAACGACCCATTGATCTAAGTAGTCGAACCGTTGACCCATTCAATGGTTTTTGGCCATTTTTTTTAATTGGAAACCATCTAGGAAACCGGTTCCATTTTATCCCAATCGTGGTCCCTGGCGAAAAACTGTTGAATCAGTTAATGATCCATTGACCCGGGTGGTCGAACCGTCGACCCGTTGACCCGTTCAATGGTTTTTTGGTTGTTTTTTTATTTTTTTATTTTTGTTGTCAGAACGGGCTGCCCATTCGAACCAGATGGTCGAACTGTCAACCCAAAAATCAATAACCAAAACGGTTCCATTTTCGGGTTGTATAAGTCACACGCTCGAATGACATATCAAGTATGATATTGCTTGATGGACCTCACACACTCAATTTTTTGCCTCTAATTTTTGTTGTTAGAACGGGTTGTCCATTCGAACCGAATGGTCGAACTACCATTTTTTTTTTAATTGGGAACCGTCCAGGCAACCAGTTCCGTTTTATCTCAATCCTGGTCCCTAGCCAAAAACCGTTGAATCGGTCAATGACCCATTGACCCGAACAATCGAACCATCAACCTATTGACTCGTTCAATGGTTTTTGGCCTTTTTATTTTTTATTTTTTAATTTTTGTAGTCATAATGAGTTGTCCGTTCGAACCGTTGACCCAAAAACTAGTGGCCAGAACGGTTCCGTTTTCGGGTCATATGAGTCACATGCTCAAATGACATAACACATATGTTAATGCTTAATGGACCTCACACACTCAATTTTTTACCTGTAATTTTTGTTGTTAGAATGGGTCGTCCTTTCGAACCGGATGGTCGAACCATCGGCCCAAAAACCGGTTGCCAAAACGGTTCCGTAATTTTTTGCCTATAAGTTTTGTTGTTAGAAAAGACCGTCCATTCGAACCGAACGATTGAACCATTGACTAAAAAATCGGTGGTAGATAAGATATATAAGATTCCTTATGCTTGTTTCTTGTAATTTGAGAATTTTCAATGAAGAATATGTTATTTATATATATATATATATATAAGGAAAAGCTAATGCCATTTGGCGAAAGGGGAGACCACCCCTTTCCCTTATATACATATATAAGATTGGCTTATGTTTTCCTAACCATTTATGATGGACATGTCTATCGTTTCTTTTCATTTTTGAATTTTTTTTAAGGCTTAAATCATATTTCATTCATTCAAGAAATTGATACAAATAATAGCCAACAAGGCGATCCAAAAAAGCAGATACAATTTTTCAATAAAAACAAAATATAGAAATGGATGAAGGAGAACTGAAAGAACTTCTGCAATCAAAATAAAGTGAATTAAAATCACCAATAGAAGTAGATAAGCATATCTCTAATCCACCACAAACAACGAGTGAAACTGATAGGAGAGGTTTCCAAAAGAGATTGTAATTGATAGAGGAGGTTACCAAGCCATAACACCATGAATTGTAACTACCAAGCAATCCAATCCAATCCGCAAAAGACGGCAAGGCCATGAACTGCAATTGCCATCCATAACACTAAAGAATTGTGAACTGCGAACTGCCATCTAGAACGTCGAAAAACTATAACTGCCAGCCAGAATGTCGGAGACGGCAATACGTGAAGCAACCTCCACTGATGGTGATCACAGAAAGGATCAAAGAGAAATAACCCCATGTCAAAATGACCACAGAAAAGAAAATAAAGCATAAAAACTCTAAAAAAGAAATGAAATCAAGGAGGAGGGGAGAAATGGAGAATAGAGATAACAAAAGGAGGATAAAGAGAATAGATGGGAGAAAGAATGAAAAATGAAATCATGGAAGAGGGGAGAAATGGAGAACAGAAAAATAAAAGAACAGAGAGAAAGGGGGGACTCTCCGAAGGGAGTCACCCCTAACAAACAAAGAGGAAGCCTAAGAACCAAAAGCCTCGAAAACCTTCGAGAGGAAGCCTCTCTTGAAATAGAGAGAGTTATTGACTGACTGATGAAGCCTGACTAACTAACTGATTGATGAGTTACTTGGCGGAGACTATTGCCTGCTGCCTACTGCCTATCGCCTGCTTTTTTTTTTTGAAATTTCAAAGGTGGAAAACATTGATGAAATTATGATTCAACGTTCTTAATTGCTTCATAATTAACCAGAACCGAGTTTTTTTTTTTTTTGTTCATATAATATAGATAGTTAATACTAATGGGTAACAACAAAAAAGAAGAGAAAAACACACAGCTTGCGTTGGGACAAACATAATATTTTGGGGTAACAAATATATCACAATAATAGGGCTAACGTTATAAATAGGGTCGGGCTACCCCTGGCCTGAGTCGGATTGGATCAAATATGAAGATCTAATTTATCGGATTCGAATCCTACCAATCTTTGTATCGGATCAGATTTGACATACAAAGTGTTGGATCGAATTCGAATATAACCCTGATTCAAATCCAATTACAAACACCACTTGATGATGTTCCAGGTTTTCATCTCATATGTCAGAAGCCATTAATACACGGCTGCAAATACCGCGAACACGGCTTCTGCATGAACACTCCCAAACGGACATTGACATTGGGCTGGATCTGGACTTTTCGGATCAAAACATTGGGTTATTTTTCATAAGCTGTGTTTGTTTTTTTTTTGTTTTGATGGAAGAAAAGGCTGAGCTACACAAGACGGGGGTAGCTCTTCCCCTAAAATCAGCATCACAAATGAAACTAAATCACAAAACCTAAAATCTCTATTACTAACTTGACACCTTAGAGCCCTTCGGCTAGCCAATCAGCCACTTGATTTGTGTCCCGGTACGTATGCTTGAAGCTGATGTCCAAGTTGAAGAAATCAATAAGCTTGAGACACTCCTTGATAATGCATTCCAATCTCTAGGGAAGAACTATTCTACCATTGAGACAGTCATTGACAATCTTAGAATCTCCTTCGATGGTGATCCGTTGGTTTTCGTAGTTGATCACTACGTTTATAGCTTCCCAATCCGCCCACCCTTCAGCAAGGTTAATCGTTGTTGATCCAATCCTAAGGGCCTTGGTTTCAAGAAGTTTGCCCTGATGATTCCTAGCAATGCATCCAATGGCACAACCTCTAGTATTAGAACATGTAGCATCAAAGTTTATTTTGATGCAGTCGGGTTTAGGTTTGAGCCACTCAACTTGCTTCCAAGACTGGCTCAAAACTCGAAATGGTTTCTTTAATTTCATTCCGGTAACTTGATGCTCTGTTAATGATTATTAGGGAATTATTGGACTTACCACCAAAACATTTTTCATTTCTGTTCTTCCATAGGATCTCGGCACTGGTAACACTTCAACCAACCTATTCCAAATTTATTTCGCTGATTCACACTTAACAAATAGTGATCAATATTCTCCTCTTCCCCACAATGAACACATGCTGGGTCAATTCTACAACCCCTCACAATAAAATTATTTTTAGTGGAAAGTTTGTCATTTAAGAGAAGGAAAAGGAAAGCTTTAATTTTCGGAGGAACCAAGAGACTCCAAAAATTATTTATATAATTATTTGACAAACAGGCTCTCCTATTAAAATGACATTCTTCTAAATAAGCCGATTTAACCGAAAAATCTCCTTCTGAAGTTAATTTCCACACTCTCTTATCCTCCATATCATCCTAGGGAAGAAAAATCGATTTAATGTATTGCCAAATCCAAGGGGAGGCAATCATTTTAATTACATCCTCCTTCCAAACCCTATTTTCATGGTCAATCACCCTACTAACTGGGAAATCCATGTTGTTCACATCAATCTGGTCAATGAGCTCCATATATAAGAGGACCATTTCTAGCCCAAGTATCCTTCTAGAAAGAAACATTATTACCATTTCCTATTCTCCAAGTGGATCCCTTTTTAATCAAATCTCTAGAGCCTATAATCCCCCTCCAGGCCCAAGAAACACCTTTTTTTTTGGGTTGACCTCCCAAAAGTTATTTTTCTTGAGATATTTACTTGAACCCACTCTAACCCAAAGATTATCTTGACAATTAATAACATTCCAAGCCAAAAAAAGATTATCTTGACAATTTTTTTTCCACCCAACCAATTTATTGGCCATTTTTTCTTTAATATATTTAAAGGTTTCCTTTGTAACTCTACCGTCAATGATTGGAGCTCCAAGATAAGTTTTATTCTTCAATGAGAATCTTAAGGATTTTGGCCATGATTTTTTTTAAAGCGATTGGGAATGTTTTTAGAAAAAAGATATGGCCGACTTAAGGTAATTAGGGAGTTGACCAAAAGTTTTAGCAAAGTTGTCCAAAATCTCCCTAATTTTCAAACAAGCATTGATTGACACCTTAATAAAGATAATACAATCATCCGTAAATTGCAGGATGGGAATGGATGGACCCCCCTAGAAGCTCTACACCCTATAGACTTTTCACCACACTGAACCTCCATTTTAAGTTTGCTAGTTAAGGCTTCAGCACATAGCACAAATATGTACAGAGAAAGGGGATCCCCCTGTCTAATGCCCCTACTAGCACTAAATGATGTAAAGGGAGAACCATTTATAAGGATTTGGAATGAAACCGATACATTCCATCACCCATCACCCAATAATTTATCCACTTAGTATGGAACCCATATTTCTCAAGAACCTTTCTAATAAATCCCCATTCCAACGTGTGTTTGGTTTAAAGGTAGGGAAATCCCAACCTTTCCCTTGCTTTCCCTCTCTTTTCCTTCAAACCAAACATAACCAATTAGCTAGGGAATTACGCGGGATTCGATCGCAAGTCTCCGCTACAACCAGCGACCTTACCAACTGAGCCGAGCCGACTTGGGGTTTGGGGGAATTGGAAGCTTGTAACCCTAACACATCTCTTTCTTTCCAGAAACTGTGAAATATCTCGATGGGCCGTTGGCCAATGGTTTTATTGTAATTTCCTGCAAACATCAGCCATACACCCTCCGGCCTTTATTTGGAAAAGGAAACACAGACGTTTCCGCCTCTCTCTCAAATCTTGCAACCTCTTCCCCTTAACCATTTTCCTGTAAAAGAAATAACAAGGGCAGCGTTAGGGGGATTTGAAGGGATTTTTCTTTTTCGAACAAATAATATACAAAGATTTGATATTTGGATCATAGCTGTCTCTAATGGCTAGCAGAAAACTGGTTCGAGATTTCTTTCTGTCCAAGCAACTCCTTTTCCAACCGCTGAAATCGCAACAGGTATGTTCCAGAGCCCTAGTTTCATTATAATTTTCTTCCCTTCTTGTTTCATCTCTTTCTCTGGTGTTTTGGTTGTGTGTTTATTTATCTTTTGCAGTAATCATTCAGAAGGTATTTCCTTTTCGTTAATTTGCTTGGTCTGTTTCTCTTGCAAGGCTGCAAATACGCGATTGCGACTGCCGTCAAGAAATGGGTATTCGGCTTGTCGTCGATTCAGTGTTTTTAATGAGTTCTCCAAGCAAGTAAAGGGAGAAGCTAAATGGTACTGGAGTTCCTGGAAGCTTCAAACTTTTGATTTATGCCATTAATATTGTTTTTGGGTTGATAGTAAGTACTGAACATTTGAACTCAAAAGATTTTCCATCTGGGTTTGCCCGAGTTTCTTTTCTGTTGCCCTGTTTTGCGGTGAAAGAGTGCTCCTTTTGTTCTTTGCACAGACTTTATCGGGAAATATTTTTCTTCTTTTGTTAGAGAGAAAATGGAATGTATTTGATTGCAGCTTTGGAAACGTTTAGGAGCATAGGTCGTCTGGTTGGCTTGATTGGATAACATGGAAACTGTTTTATTATTTATTACTTGACATTGTTTTCTGGTTAATTATGTTATTCCTTTCTGTAGTCGTTTTTATGTGTTTTTTCTTTTTTTTTTATTTATTATTATTATTTGGCTCGTAGGTAGCTAAATGTTATGTCCAACTCCCACAAATTTATTCCATTAGCTTCCACATTGTGTAACTTATAAAAATATTGAATTGATTCCCTAACTTTAACATTTAGTCTTTAAGCCTTATGACTTTCTTTTCCTGATTTGCTGACTTATTTCTTCTTGGGTTTTTTTTTTTTTTTTTTCTTTTGGGGGTTTGTTTGGCAGTAATCCAGATTTCCAAAAGTCAATCAAGGAGCTGAAGGAGAAAACGGAGGAGCTGAAAGGGGTAAAAGAAGAACTGAAAGTTAGGTAATTTTATTTAACAGTTTCATTGGGTTATCTGCATCTTTTGCTTTACAAGGTCATAAGCTGAGACATACTGTTGTATGTCGAAGGCTGGCAGACACTTCAATGGAGGCTCTGAGATGGTGAACTGGCGAATGCAGAACGAAGCAGACAACTGAGCAGCTGTACAAGCATGCGGATAGCGTTTGGACAGAAGCTGAAGCTACGGCAAAGAAGGTCAGGTCCAAATCTCCAACATAAGATTACTTCAAAAGAATTTGATCTTGATTTCTATTAGCTCGGTCCTTTCCTTCGGCAAAATGTAGTCATTTGCATTCTTTTGAGGTTATGATTAGTATGTGTGCCTTTTTTTCCCACTATTAGTATAAGTGTCTTTTTTTCCCACTATTTTTCTTCATTTCTTTTTCTTTTCCCTTTTTGGGTGGGGGTGGAGGTGGGAAGTTTCTGATTGGAGGGCTTTGGAGTTTGGTGAATTCATTTTGAAGATGTATCAACCAGCACATTTCCCCCTTTATGAACATGTTCACATCCGAATATCAGTATTATATTCATTTTTCTTTGTTTGTACTTGTAATGTTTTGGAAGTCAGCAACCCTTTCACTTATTTCTGTACGCCCTGTTCTTTTTTCTTTTTTCAATTTGTTATGCATCTTGATAGAGATGTTTCTGACACCTTTCACCTAATGATGCCTCTAGGACATCCATGCCTATTGTTGCTGCTACTCTTATTTTCTTTCCTTGACTTTTTCAATAAATGTTAGTCTGATATTGTGAATTTCCATTCTCTGCAGGTTTCTGCCACTGTGAAGGAGAAGATATCTGCTGCCACAGAAGAGGTAACTACCCTCCTATTCCATGCTTGAAGCCTATGAATGATTTTTTATTACAACAATATGTTCACTTTACAAAAATATTATCCTCTCCTCATCTTGTAATTTAGGTCAAGGAGACCCTTGGACTTGGAAAGGAGTCTTCAGAATCCACCAGCACTTCAACTAACTCTGGAGCTGCTGATACAAAAGAGAGAGGCAATGACACAGATGGAAAAGAGAATTTCCAGCAATCGGAATCAAGTGATGCTAAAGAAACATTATTTGGCAGGTTTAAGTCAAGCGTTTCTTCTGCTTCTCCTAAGGTTTCTTTGGCTTTTCAAAAATTGAAGGATGCCAAGGTCATTGACATAGCAAAGAAGGGTTATGACATTGTAAAAGATGAGTTGAGTGGTAATCCAAGCAAGAGAAAGCGTATGCAACATGCAAATTCTTCCCCAACAACAGGAGAACGAAGTACAAGAACTGATATTGTTATTGTACCCACAAAGCAGTCACGATGGGGTAAGAAGTGGGAATCATTCAAAGATAAGGTAAATAGGTTTCTTTTGTGAAATGCCAGAGAAGCTCCTTCTCTTCTTTGCTCCATAGTCCTTTGTTGATACTTTTCTAATTTATTCCAGATGCAAGGCCATCCCATATTCAAGCAAATAAGTGGGATTAGTGAACCAGTTGTGGCAAGGGGTCAAGAGGTAGACACTATTCTTTGTTCATTCTTGTTATTTTTCCTATCTTCATTCTTCAACACATAATTGCTACATTATGTTTTTTGTTTGTCATATTTTTTAATCATTGTCCAAGACATTCAATTTTTAATAGAAAAGCTGACTAGCTGAGTATAGGCAAACAATTACCTAATTATTAAAAAAATATTTTAATGGGAAAATTGAGCTATTATTGATACACATATCTATTGCAAAATGATATTCTCCTTGTACTACCATTTAGTTGCACAAGTTTTCAGTTTGCTTCAACTGAGTTCTTGTGCTTGTATCTTATATTTGGTATTCCTTAATCCTTATTAAATTAATGTGGCAATAACTGTCTCGTGGATGGAATATTGACAGTTAGCAGAGGACGTGAGGGAGCGGTGGGAAACTAGTGATAACCCTGTTGTTCACAAAATTCAAGAGTATGCTTCTTTAACTTTATCCTGTTTCTTCACTCTGTTTTATTATTTGACAATGGGGTGAGAAAGAATTCTACTTAAGTTTCCACATGGAAGCCTTGGTTGTATTGGAGCTCTTTTCTGTATGTCTTAACTATCAAACCTGTTCTTATGCATATTTGTATACAAGTATTGATTGTTAGTGCTAATTTGAGAGTGTTCTCTTGACAGTCTTAATGAAACTGTTTTTGGAGAAACAGCTGCTGCAATATCTTTCAAGGAAATACGTCGTCGTGATCCGTAAGATACTGTGTAACTTTGCAGGAATCTGATTAGAATTTTCATCATCCCTTCTTAATTTCTGACATATACATTTTTTTTTAAATTGTGTCTAGATCATTTTCCTTGCCAGAGTTTGTAGCTGAAGTTCAAGAAATTATCAGGCCAACCCTCAATGCTTACATTAAGGTATAAAGCTTAAGTTTATTCAAGTATTGTAAGAATAGCTTCTTGTTTATAGTTTTGTTTTCTTTCCTATGGGTGTTTGAGGGATATTATGATCAGATAGAGTTTCCCATCTGTACTAAGTAACAAATTCTTGTTCAGGGTGACATTGAAGCACTAAAGAAGAATTGTAGTCCTGAAGTGATTGAGCGGTGTAAGGCAGAACATAGAGCTTATGAAAGCCAGGGTATTTTCTTTGATAACAAGGTAAATGGCCAAACTGCTGACCATGATATTTCTGTTTCTTAACCTAAAGAATTTTGATGTATCATGTATCATGTATATCTCTGAGGTTCTGACAAGTTGGTCCCAAACAAGGTAAATATTTTCAGTTTATTTTTTTTGAATTGGTCAAAAATAAGTTTAGTGCAAGAAATAGAAATCTTAAGTGTACATTTGTAGAATTCATGATACTCTAGTGCTTGTGAGCTAATAACAAGTATTTTGTAATGTGCTACAATTTGTTAATTCATCATCGTCATCATCCAAACCTTATCCCAACTATATGGGGTTGGCTACATGAATCCTGTTTTTCCATTCCGTTCTGTTTAATGCCATATGCATAGTTAAATTATTAGTGCTTAAATCACTTCTTACTACGACCTATTTCTTTTCTGACTACATGAATCATTTCTTACTATTTCGACCCATGTCCTTGTAGTCCCTTCAACCATTGTAGTCTATTTTCTCAGGGTTTATATCAAGTTCTTAATTGATAAATAGAAGTTATGGTCTATAAATTTGGACAGAAAATTGTATACATGGTCATCATTTCTAGGGGGTTTTCTTAAAATTGTATACCTGATTTGTTTTCTTACATCTAAGCCTTGTTCCGACTATATGGGGGTTTTATCAAAAAAAAAACTATATGGGGTAAGCTACACGAATACTGTTTTTCTGTTCTGTTTTGTTAAGTGCCAACTTCTTTACCCACTCCCATCCAAAGGATGTAGGAACCCTTGCCTATTTAACACCACAACCGGGTGTTGTTATGGTCGATTGCTTCTGGGGACCACCTTAACATACCCTTGCAAACTTGACACTACACTTGGATTAAGGTGTAGCACATTGCCTCTGAGGGATGCGCTAGCATGAGCATGGAAAGACAATTCAGGGTCTATGGTCACAAGAGTTTTGCAAAAGTTTTAGTGCTGGCTGCCACCTTGACGATGTGACATTCCTCCTTTATCTAGGCTTGGGAACGACATTGTAAGACAAGCTCACATTGGCAGAGTTGGGGGCTTTCTTACACGAGTTAGCTAAATATGCAAAATTTGGATTTCCTTCAAACCTTGCCTTTCTGGCCTTCTAAATTCTTGGGGATCATTTATGCTGGATCTTGTTGTCGTTGTTGCTGTTGTTGTTGTTGTTATTATTATCATGTTGGTGTCGTTGTTCCTTAGATGTGGTTTTTTCTTGCCATTAAATTTCTAAATACAATGAATAAGTCTGGATTCTTTTTGGGATCTTGAACTTGCCTTTTGACCTTTCCATCTCCATTGGAGATCATTTACTTGTTCCATTTTCTGTTCCTTACAAGTAAATGCTAGTTCCTTACATGTACTTGATAAGGGCCATGTTAATTTATTGCATCCTCTAGATATTAATACAAAATAATCAGCCTGACTAATAGTCCAAAATGCTAGGAAACGGCTACGTGTACCCATGTTGAACTTGAAATGGATAAATGCTTATGCAGATGCTGGATGCTGCATGGATATTGCAGGTGTATCATTTTCCTGTTTCCAGTTGTACTCTTTCTTGTCAATTTACTGGACATACCTGCAATTGAGGGCATATTACCATTATCTCGATTTCAGTTAGACGATAAATGCCCTTATTGTCTTGGATTGTTAAAGTGTAGGGTAGGGTAGTTTTGATATTTGACTTCACTTCTCCTTTACACTCCAAGTTCCAATTCGTGTATCACTTTCTCCTTTCCTTTCCTTTTCCTTTTATTTTGATAAGTCTTTCCTTTCCTCTTCCTTAGCCCTTAATTTCTTTAGCTTCTCTCTCTCATCCTGATTCTTTTGATCTCTCTCGGTGGCAATGATTAAAGGCAAGGCAATGGTGCTGGACATTGCTAATAAATATATATCTTTACATTCTCTTGATTTTAGTTAGGGAATAAATGCTCCCATTCTTGTGTTAAACTGTAGGGTAGGGGGTAATGAGGGTTTTTTGTCATTTGTCTTCACTTTACTTGCCCCCTTACTCTTGAAATTCCAATCCATGGATCACTTTCTCCTTTCTTTTCCTCTTTTATGTCTCTAACTTCTCTTTGCTCCTCTCTTATCCTCATTCCTTTTCTCTCTCTTGATAGAAACAATTAAAGGCATATTATTGGTGCTGGACACAGTTTTCAAGGTGCCAAGGTGAACCTAGACGACAAGGGAGCACTTCGTCGTATAGTCACATAGGTGCCCACCTAGGCGTCACTTAGTGTCTAAAAAGGATAGAAAAACAAGGAGCTGATCCCCTGTTTCTGTTGTAGGAAAAGTAAAAAGATGAAAAGTAATGTGGAAAATATGGGGTTGAGCCCCTGTTCTTGTCTTTCGAAAAAATGAAAGCACAAAAAAGAAGACTCAAAAAATGGTGGAGAAGATGGGGCGGAGCCCCTCTTTTATTCCAGAAGAAGGGCTGGAGGCTCGGAGCCCTGTTTTTGTTCCAAAAAAGGAAGGAGAGAACCCCTGATTTTGTTCTAGAAGAAGAAAAATAAGGGGCGGAGGCCCTGTTTTTTGTTCCAAGAAGAAGAGGAATACGATGGAGGAGGAGATGAAGAACATACCTTCTGCAATTGGTTGGTCTTCCCTGCTTCAAACTCTGTATCACTCAAATCCTTTTAGTCTTCCTCGGTTCTTATCTTTCGAATATCTATCACTCAGAACCCTAACAAAATAAGAAGCTAACAATAAAAGATATTATTTTTTGAAAGGAAATAATAGAATGATACAATGTTTCATGCCTATATTAATATTATATATTAAAAATATAAAAACATATGAAAACATTATATAACTTTGTATAAGTGGTATATAAACCACTTGGCGTTTGAGTGAGGCAAGCCCAAAAAGCAACTAGACGCCTAGGTATCGCCTTGACAACTATGGTGCTGGACATTGGTAATAAATACTTTTCTTGGAAAAATGACTTCTACAATCATAATAGATCCCAAAGCTTTCTCAACTCTTTATCAAGAATCTCAGCTGCAAGGTACAAGCATGACTTCATCATACTACAAACTTCCAAAATGATACACTAGGATATTGTTAAACCTGTCATCATTGAGCGCATCTCCAGGCAAGCAAGTAGTGGTTGGTTATGAAAATGGAAGCAGTGCTCTTAACATGAGAGAGGGGGTAGGGGGTGGTACAATAAGAAGGAATAGAAGTTGGAGTAACTTCTCATTTGGTCTCCCCACTAAAAGCAATGATTGGTTGTGTCCTAGGTAGCAGGTGCTAACTAGCTGACTACAAAAAATACATTTTAAATATAAGTGATTGAGGCTTCAAAAAAATATATAATTGATTGATGTAATTTCATAAATAAGTAATGCAAATATGCATTAAATAAATGCAATAAAAAGAATGATATGGGTGATTTTCCCCCCAAAGAAAGATATGGATGCCAACAGTCTAGCAGATGAGTTAGCAAAATAGGGGGCAGCAGGGAATCCGTTTCTGCATTATAGTCTCCTGGGGGGTAGGGGTTGTAAGCAACAATTTTGTTGGTGGTTAGCTGAGGCTATCTACCATCTTAAAATGCATTCTGCACATAGATTCTTTAATAATCAATAAAACACTTTGACAATTATCAAAAATTAAATATATAAATAAATAAAAGAATGATATGGAGCATTTTAGTTCAGTCTTGGTTTTTCCAAACACAAAAAGGCTGGATAGGCTGAGATAGGCTGTTACAGTCTTTGTTCTTTTGGTTGATGCATTTATAAGATGGGTGCAACTAGAGACCAGCTTTTTTTTTCTTTTTGTGTGCGTGGAGCTATTAATCAATTTGGTCCTATATAAGTTACTGCTGGAACAAATGGGGTTAGGCAGCAAAGGCTGACCTAAAATGATATATGGGCTGAATGGCATGTCATTCTCTTTGTACTATGCTATTATTTAGTTTTAATAAAATGTGAGAAGTTACCAACTGAGAAAATAAAGTATAACTGACACTTTGTAATGTGCCCCCCTCTTTGTGCCTACTCTATTCCAGCACAACCATGGTTTGAAAATGACCTGAAAGGACTCTACTGTTCTTTCTATTTTATGCCCTATTTCTATTTTATATATCATCACCCAATCATGTGACACCACAAATGCTTAAAGCAATCGCATGTGTATGATATTATTTTAAATAATTAGAGATCTTTAAAATGATTTTTGTGGTCAACTAAGTTGACTAGCCATTAGCCTATCTAGTTGACCTAGTTGATGCTTAGTTGTCCCAAGAAACCATGTGATGATAAAACTTGTAGTCTGTATTGGCCAGTTAGTGATGCAGTCTGTGTGTACTTCAAAGTTGATGTTATGATAAAACTTGTTACTAGTACATTAAATACCATTTTGTTTATAGTATTGTAATTGACAATTCTCATGGATTTATTTGATAAATTTGCCCTTGAAGTAAATAACACATTAAATGCTATTAATTTTTCCCATTTTTGTCTCACTAGATTCTAAAATAGGACTTATCTTATTTATTTATATTTTTTCTCGATGGAGAAGATTTTGCTAAAAAGGCTTTTATGGAACTAGAAGCAGAAGAGCAGTCTACAAATTCTGATTCCATGTGTGAGGAATCCATGATTCAATAAGAATGTGATTTTTATGGTCAGATTAGATGATTTTTTTTATCAATAGCTGCAATAGTTTATTATTAATCAGAACAAGTTAGATGATTGGGTGCTGGTCTCTTGGAATGTTTAGTTCTAGAGGTGGTGCATTGGACTAATGAAAGCGCTCTGTTAGGCAGTTAATGGAAAGGTGAAATATTCTTAGAGGTAGGAACCCAGCTTATTTATTTATTTATTTTTCTTTATTTTCATCTTAAGAAGTGGATGCTTTCGTTTTTTGAGATTGATAATGAGAGATAGTCATTTGATGGATAGATTGATATTAGGGGGTTTTGGTTTTGGTTGGTTGAGTTTATCTGGAGTTGTATTGTTATTATGAGGTTGGTGAAGTTTTCTGTTAGGTGCTTGGGCTGCAAAACCTGTATGCTTCTTGTATACTTTCTTTTTCTTTTTGAATTTTATTTTACTATAATTAAAAAAACTCTATCTACATCATGTTTTGTAGTGGGGTAAATAGATTAAGAACATAAATACTAAAAGGATAGTAAGGGTTAAGAGGCCTTTCATAGCTCCATGTGTCTTAGCTAGTATGTATATCTTGTGTATGATACAAAATTTAAACAAAGAATAGATATAGTGGATTACACAATAAAAGTTGCACAAGACCTAAGATACTGTATACCTGTCCATATATATCATAAAACTATTGGACACAATAGATACCCAATATGCACTGGGTAGTGAAGAACAATTCAAGAGTATGCTTTTTTTTTATAGCATTGACACTTCTAAAATATGTAAAATGACGTGTTTTAGCAAATTATACTATATAGAGTTTGTATGAGTTGGAAGTTTAAAAAATTGGCAAAGCTGCAAGTACTGAGAAATACGGCATCAAACTGTATCTCTTTTTTTCTTTTTTTGGTAACTAAGCCATATCAAATGGGATAGCAACACCAGTACGTGCCCAGGATTTTAGGAAATGGTGAGTTGTATCTTCATTCCTCTTATCCATGTCCATGTCAGTATCCATATCTGGCTTCATATGATTACTGCATAGCACACATCTTTATGTCCACATGGCCAAACTTCTTTCTTACAATTGTTCATATATTTATAATGTATCCTGTCAAAATATGCCCAAGATGCAGGTATTTGCAATGTATATCATAGGTATCCTTGTATGATGAATTTGACCGATTTCTTAGATGCATGCATTGGTAGAGTGTTAATATTTTGCACTTAAGTTATGTTGTCATACTGTTTCTAATCCAGGTTTTCTGTTAATTCTTTACTTGCCAGATTCTACATATATCAGAAGTGGAAGTTAGGGAGACCAAACTGATGGGAACCTCTCCCATAATCATTATAGCTGTAAGCATTTACTTGTCATCAATTCTGTTTTAAACATCTATGAGTTGTCAAATCCAAAGGTTTTCCTGATTAATGCTTTACATTGTGAATTGCTATAGTTTCAAACACAGCAGGTCTATTGTGTGCGAGATAGACATGGTTCCATAACTGAAGGTGGAAAGGTAAGAATTGGTTGTTCATTAGTTAAATACATAAGACATGAATATTTCAAAAAACATTTTGGTTATTGATCAAAATAAATTGAAAAATATTTTTTTCCTTCTTGCCTACCTCAGTAATTTTGCAACCATGAGTGTAGTAGACAAATTCATTCTGACAGTCATAAACCTGAATTTTCTGGGCAAGTTACTACTCATGCTGTGCAATTTTTTACTCTTAAAGACCTGGTGGTTGGTCCAGCACCTGATCACTGTCTGATGGATATGCTATGCTACCCAGATACATCAAGGACATGGCTGGACATACTGTTGAATATGGAATTTATACTAAGAATTCAAGTATCTGACATGATAGGGTGTCTTGCCAATGGCCCAGTCGTCAAGATGGTCACTTGGCACTCCCTCCAAATAGGAGGCATGGGATCAAACCCGTGGTGGGCCTCATGTGCACCCTGTGCTGCCCCACCCCAACTCCCCTGTAATGTCTAGTATGAAATACAAAAAAATAAAAGACATGATATGGTATCCTGGCATAGGCATCTTGGTATCATTGGAATGCAGTGGACTAGTGTTCGTCACCTTAAAATTCTAGAGCAATTATGTGGTAGTAGCAATTATTGAAATCTTGTAACTAATGCTAATTCCATAAATTTTAGGAAAGAAATCCTATACAATGATCTCATCTTTAACTTGATTCATTTGATTCAAAAAGACTACTCATTTGTTTTGAAGCAGATTGCTTCATGTAATAATTACTTCCATCTGTGTAAATTTGCCTTGGCTTTTAGGGTATCTGTCTAATGTGTTTTCACTTAGACATGGGTCTGGTGATGTAAGAAAGATGTTCCATCTCCTTGATCTAATTTTCTTTCTATTTGCATGTAGTTAGAAGGTGATAAAATGTCACCTCTAGATTGCTGAATTTGTGGTTTTTGTTCAGGACACAATCCATACTGTATACTATGCATGGGCTATGCAGCTAGTGGATGCTGAGGAGCTTGGGGAAGGTGCTTTCTACCCTATATGGAGGTTGAGAGAAATGCAACAACTTGGTGTTCAAGCTCTCATATAGCCATTAACGTGTCTTGTTGACTTGATTTGAGGATTCGCTTCTCTGGGTTTTTGTTTTTCTGCGACCAGGGAGAATTCAAGAGTAGGTGTTTTTCTCATATAATAATTTAATTAGTAAAATAAAGGTTTACAGAAGTTTTGTTTAAATAGAAGGAATATATTTATCTATTTTGATTCCTTTTTTTCCCCTTGAAACGGTTTCTCATTAACCAAAGAAGACAGTTCATCTGTAGTAAATCTCTAAACTAAGCACGTATTTCTTGAGTCCACTTATTGGTCATGGTTTTCCCATGATTGCTCGTGTTTGGCTGTTGCGTTTTTTTTTTTTTTTTTTAAAGCCAGTGGGCAGATTGCATTAAATCATTAATCAATAGGCCTTAAGAAATCAGGTGGTAGAAACCAAGTAGTGGTTCTGTCAGCATTTCGGCCAAATTTTAATTGTGGTGTACTAGTGTGATGTAGGGTTGAGTGGACTTGACCAGTATTGGGTTTGGGTTGAGATGTATTTAGGGTATGCTTCGTATCATTGCCGTTTTTCCTTTTTCAGACAACCACACATTGCCGTTTTCTTCTCAGTGGGAACACAGCATGTTGCGAGTCCAGATCTCCTGCCCACGTTTATCGCAGCTATACATGGAGAACATCTCATCTTCTGCATAGTATTATGCAGAGGGAGATGTTCCCAATTCACGGGGAGTAGTATATTGTGGGTAGGCGTGGGTTGCTGCCTCACGTTGGGGGCAGTTGCAAGTGCTGTGGGGTGGGTGTAAGGACCATTCTGTGAGTAAATCTGGATTCATTTTATATTGGTATTGCCGTATTGGTGCTAGTTGGATGCCATTAGGTGTCACATAGGCAAAGAAAATAACAAGCTAAAATTTTCATGACATGTAACTAAGCTTAATTACTTCAATGAATTTGTATCCAAATGTTGAGTATGGGAATATGAATGAATTCATTTTGGATTTATTCAAAACAAGTATTAACTTGCGGTCCATTTTATTTGTGGGAATAGAGGTTTGGAATGGGAATCCAAATGGTTTATTATGATGGGCAGAATTGAAATTTGATTCCCATTCATGGTAGAATGGCATTCCCCATTTGAGGGAATGACCATTCCCTCTTTCAAGAAAGATAATCCATTTCAGCCAATTTAGATTTTTATTCCAATTCCAGACAAACAGGCCATTCCTGTTTCGATTCCACCTGCAAACTGAATGGACCCTTATTGTTTTTGGGTGGGAAGGATCCAATATAGTGTCTACTATTTATGGGGGGGATGCAAGTGTAGCTCGATGGATATCCTTAGGGATGGCAATGGGGCAAGTTTGGTGAGGGTTTTGTAAATTCTAGACTTTACCTGCCTCCCTAAACCTCCCAACCCCTACCTGGCCCAAAATCCGTAGCGGGTTGGATTTTGAGAATCCAAACCCTATTCACACATGAAAATGCAAAACCCTCCCCGACCTTGTCCTCCTTGCATTCAAGGGTAGGGTGGATTGGATTTAGAATCAACATTTAATTTCCTATTATTTCTTGTCATATATAAGCAATAGATAAGTAAAATAACACAAATAAATAGAAAATTTCCAATTATTTGATCAAGACATGTAGAAAACACATGCATTATCAATTATCTTTCACATAAAATTGAAAATATTATTAAATTCAACACTTGGTACATAAAGTTTATATGCTTTCCAACAATATGTGGGTTAAGTTTAGCCTAATACCGTACCCTATCCATACCCATACGGGTTATAGAATCCTAAAACCCATACCTGCCCCAAAACCCATCTTTCAAGGAAAAAGAAATCCATCCCATCGGGTAAGGTAGAAATTACCATCCCATGTTCAGCTCACTAAATGGGGATGAAATCTTAAAAAATCTCCACTATTAAATTTTAAAAAGTCTTTACCATTCGTAGGCTTGTGTTTGTTTGTAGTGCAAATCTAAACTGGATCAAATTTTAAACACCGTTCAAATTTGCATATGATTCTTTGTAACTATTATATTCACTATTTCTTATTGTAACAAAAACACTCTTTTTGTTCATAACCAACTTTCATGTAAAAACCAATTTGAACTTTGAACAACCTTCTTGTGGACAATGGTTAAAGTATTGGTATTGAGTATCTTATTGGATAGCTCGAATACTGATACATTTTGGAAATGTATGGACACAAATGGAAGATATGAAAATGCTTGGATCCCTAGGAGCATACAAATTATATAAATATGTTAATAAAACTAAATCTAAAGCTGAATTAACTATGAATGAGGCACAAATACATGAGAAATGCACACTTTAGTAGGTTATATGAAGAGAAACATTACAATCAATAATATGGGGTCAAGAAGATGTACATATCATACAATAGTTGTCACTCTATTTCAGACTTTATAATTATAATTTTCAATTTTTATTATTTTTTGGGAAATTTTATATTTAGTGTTTTTATATAAATAATCTCTATTTTTTAAAATAATAAGTATATTTTCATTTTTTACATACAATTATTTATTTTACATATAATTTTAAAGAAAACATACAAATGATTAAGGTAAATAAAATAAATTATTTTTATAATTTTTAGTTATTAAAAGTTTAGGGAAAATTAACTCTTAAATTATTTAGTTCAGTTTTTATAATTATAATTTACAATTTATAATTTGTAATGTATCCTATGCCGGTGAGCATGGATATAGGTTGTGTGTATTGTATCAATACTTTAATCCTTGTTTGTGGGGGTCAAATCATTTACTTCCTGTTTTTTCTCCTAGACAAAGGACTTTCCTCTTGCTTTCATTCTCTTCTTATAAAGTGAGACATGATTTTACTTTTTGTTCTATTGCTCATAAAAGCATAAAGCAGAAAGTAAATAAGAATTTACACAAAGCCCGTGTGCACTCCAATACATTTAAACCAAGGGTCCAATTATGGTGCATTTAAATATTTGTTGCATATTAAATCAAAATTTCAACAAATTACATTAAAAATGTCGCATGGTTTGTTTACATTTATTAGTCCATATTACATAATGTGTATTTATGATTAAAGACTTCAATAACATTAAAAATGTCACTGTATAGATTTTGCCTTCAACCAATCCAAATTTTATTTACACTACAAGCAAACAAATCAAAGTTAAGATAATCAAATCCTCGAACGAATTGTGTTTAAATTACAAACAAAAGCATATTCCAATAATCCTAATTCATCAACTTGTGTTGTGCGAATGATATTAAATCACCGTTCTCTTCCTATGTAGTTGAGCGGTCATTTTTTCTCATGAAAGGGGGGTCGTTTGGGAATATTCCTTTTTATAATCTAAGTTATGGGTTGTGAGATGTTTGGTTACAAGCACTAGGGAGGTGTTATATCCATGGTGGGTTTTTATTTCTCCCATTTGAGAGAATCAATAGGATTTTGTGCTTGTAAGACACTTGGGTGTGGGTTTCTTCTCTACAAGGGTCTCTTAATTTCTTCATGGTGTTATTCATGTTTTGTTCGAGTTGTATGAACTATGAAGGGCTTACATTGGTGGTTTTTTCACAACACTGGAGAGGTGTTGTACAAACTCTCTTGTACTCCTTTTTCCTCTCTTGACAGTGGACCATTAGCTTGTCAGCTTTGCCCGTGGATGTAGCCTTTAATGGGTGTTTCTTGTGTGATTGCTTTTACTTTTCTCTACTTGATTTTCTGCTTGTGTTGCCTATTGCCTGTTGTTGTTGGATTATTCCAAGTGTTGTGAATGCTAACAGCTTGTTTAGGTCGTTTAGACATGGCATATAGCAACTTACACATGAAAATTGCATGTTAGATTTGAGTTTGTGGAAATTTTACAAAATCAATTCAAGAGAAGGTCGCATACCCATGCAAGGTTTAAAATATTGTTATATATCGACTCGTATCGGCCGATATGGATTGTATCAAGGTCTTCCCGATATGCCCTTACAGTGGGTGTATCAGATTAGGCCATGGCTCAGAGGGTAACCAGGACTTAAACCAACCCTTCTGAACTGGTTTTAAAAACAAAAATTAAATAAAGCACAAAAAAAGAATTGATACATGCCAATATGCCCTATCGTCCTGTATTAAAACCTTGCATGTTAGATGAGAAGAAGGATCTCGCTCATACATCTGATTTTTTATTACAATCTCACTTTATTGGTTGAATGAAATAAAGCTTTCTTTGTGTCCACCATAGGAGACGAGAGAAGTAGACTCATGACAGATGGTTGTTTGAGAACAAAACTTTGTTTAGAATGACTCATGGTTCAAAATATCGATATATGCCCGATATGTCGATAGGGGTGTATTGGGCGAATCAATACTGCATTTGTGTTTTCAGGGGGGCGGTTTATGACTCCTCCACCCCCTGAACCGGTCAGACCCCCGATACATCCACTATAGGAATGTATCAGAGGGGTCCCGGAATGATACATATCAGCCAATATGGACCGATACTTTGAACCTTGGAATGACCTCGTTTTAGCTACGAGGCAAGAGCATGGTGTGGAATTCCCTATTGTATTTGAAAATTTGGGCTTCCTGGTTGGAGATCTGATATGAGTAGGTAAACTGCCTTGAATGCTGAAGTGTAACTCACAAGGAGATTCTTCATTGGCGTTCTGGAGGTCCTGAAGGCCACCCACTCATCCCTTTTGCCCGTCATCAGATTTGCTAGTTTCTCAACTTAGGGGTGGTTCAGTTGATACGCTAATCCAATGAATCTGATTCCACGTCTCTGCTGGATAAACCAGTAAGTTGAGAAACTAGCAAATCTGATGACGGGCAAAAGGGAGTTCAGTGTAGTGCTATGCTATTCAAGTGGCCCTTATGGGGGATTCGGGCATATCATTAAAATACAAAAAAAAAAAAAATCTATCTAATGCTGGATCCCCAATTGAACCAAAACACCTGTCCCATACCCTTGTGAGGGGAAAAATCTGTGCTGCTAGAAAGATATGATACTAGAGAGATGTGAGCCTGTGATCAATCAAAAGTCAAAACCACCCTAACCTATCACCTATGAGTTTTGTCAAGATTTACTGGGTGATTTTGATTGATCATATCTTTCCGGCAGCATAATTTTTCCCTTCCAATTAACATAGTCATTTAGACTTTAGCGTCAGTTTCAATTTTTTATTGGAAATTTATTCAAAAAAAAAACTTCCTCTCTCGTGAAACCATTCAAAATCCCAATTTCTATTCCCAATAATTAAGAGTGTTAATTGGATTGGATTTAGTCCAATCTGATTCAGTCCAATGTAAG